GACACTCTCCATAAGGCCCACTAGTCGGATCAGAGCATCCTAAAGAACTGGGGTGGCAATAAACCCCTCTAGAACCTGAGCTGGGCCCACCGGGACTGCTGGGGCTGGAACTTCATCATCAAAATCAACCTGAGGCTTCGCCACTAGTGCTGCTGCTCGGGGCTAAGCTCTGCCCCTACCTCAGCCTCTAGCACCGCCTCAGCCTCGCCATCTGCTCCTCGTAGGAGCTACTGCTGGGGGCTCGGGCTGTTGAGTGGTGGATGAGGAAGCACATGTTCTCGCCATCTGCGAAAGAACAGAGTAGAAATTCAATTAGCATTGAGAAACAGAACCGTACGACAAGAAAGAACAAATGTAAAGTTTTTCCTAACTCTGTAGCCTCTAGGGATAAATACAGACATCTATGTACCGATCCCTCAGACTCTACTAAGCTTGTCCGTGAATTGTGAGACCTATGTAACCTAGAGCTCTGATACCAACTTGTCACGATCCGGATTTCCCACCCTCGGGAGTCGTGATGACGCCTACTCGTAGAAGCTAGACAAGCCATGAAATTTAGAAATCTTAACTCCTTCATTTTAGTCCCTTTTAACAATTTGTAATAACAGGTGATCAACATTTAAATAATAGCGGAAGACGAAAATATGCGGAAGACTTAGACTAATATAATACCAAAATCAGTACGAAAATAACAACATACATTTCTACCTAGAAATTGGTGTCACAATATTCATGGACTGTCAATGAATACTACATACAGATGTCTGAAGAAAAGAAATATAGTTTGTCTCGGATACAAATGAAAACAGAACATATAAGTAGATAGAAGAGACATCGGGCCTGCGGACGCCTGCAGGACTACCTTGGGGTCTCTGTAGACTGAAGGCTGGCTCCCCAAGTGCTACTATCCTAGTGTTGCTCCGGTATCTGCACAGAGTGCAGAGTGTAATATCTGCACAATCGACCCCATGTGCTGGTAAGTGTCTGGCCTAACCCCGGCGAGGTAGTGACGAGGCTAGGACCAGACTCCAGATAAACTTGTGCAATTACATAATATATGGCGGAAAATAAATAGGAATAAGCAGTTTAAATGGGAGGGTGTACATGCTTTGGGGAAAATATCAAATCAAGCAGAAATAAAGAGAAATATGAGAGAAACAACTCAAAATCTACAACAAGTAATAATAACACTGTTGCAGAGCACAACCCGATCCAATATATATATCTAACATAGTTGCGGCGTGCAACCCGATCCAATATATATATAACATTGTTGCGGCGTGCAACCCAATCCACTATATATAACTTTGTTGCAGCGTGCAACCCGATCCAATATATAGCATTGTTGCGGCGTGCAACCCGATCCAATATATATAACATTGTTGTGGCGTGCAAACTGATCCAATATATATAACATTGTTGCGGCGTGCAACCCGATCCAATATATTTATATACCTTAAACTCAACCGTACCACGAGTCCCGGCAAGGGATCAACAATAAACTACACAATCCCAGCAAGGAAATTCAACATTGAAAGTATATATACGTCCTGGTAAGGGAGAATCAGCTATAACCTATCTTAACTCAACTCCTACTCATATCAGTTAACACCAATACTAAATCATCAATAATTTCCACGAAAACAAACTAAATCCTTGGTCAATATCGCGAATCGCCAATTAAGCATCCGTAGAATCATTTAAGAACACAACAAATATCAATTTAGGACTCACGGTCATGCTCGACACCAACGTATAGATACTCGTCACCATGCCTATACGTCGTACTCAACAAGAAGAAATTAGCAAATAGGACACAACTCCTAATCTCTCAAGCTAAGGTTAGACCAAGCACTTACCTCAAACTTTCACGACCAACTCAAGCCTCAAACACTGCCTTTCCTTTCGAATTCGGCTCCAAATCAATGGTATCTAGACATATTCGACTTCATAACATCAATAAATGCTAAACAATCCAATTCCAATGCCTAATTATAGCTTTCCAATCATTCTTCCCAAAAATCCAAAAATCGACCCCAGGGCCGCTTGTTCAAAATACGAGGTTCGGACTAAAATCCAATCACCCCTTCACCCACGAGCCCGAATATATAATTTATTTTGAAATTCGACCCCAAAACGAGGTCAAATTCCCAAATAATCAAAAAGCACTCTACCCAAATCCCTAATTTTCTACACTTAATCTCATGATTTAGGCCAAGAAATCTAGTAGGTGTTGATAAAAATGGAAGGAAACAAGTTAAAGATTACTTACCCAAGAGGTTATGGTGAAGGAGTTCTTCAAAAATCTCCTAAGAGGTGTGGAGAAGATCAAGTTTCTGAAAATTTATGAAAATCCCGTAAGTGTTCTGTTTTTAAGACTAAAAAATAACTGGGCGGATTTGTTCTTCGCGTTCGTGATAAGCCCATCGCTTTCACGATGAGTTAGGTCAGACAGACCTTCGCGTTCGCGAAAGATGGCTCGTGTTCGCGAAAGACGGCTCGCGTTCTCGGAGCTTTGGCTCCTCAAGCCTACGCGTTCGCGGGCCAGTGGCCGCATTCGCGATGCATAAAATGGTGACCCTCCCTAGCCCAGGTTGTAAGCCTTCGCGTTCGTGATACCAGGCCCGCGTTCGCGAAGGGAAAACCCACCAATGCTTCGCGTTCACGACCTGGTTTACGCGTTCGCGTAGAAGGAAATCCCTTCAGCATAACTAACACATCGCGTTCATGAGGGCCATCCTGCGAACGCGAAGAAGAAAGCATCAGTACACCAGATCAGCTGTTTTCTGCAACGTTTCTTAAGTCCAAACTTTCCGAAACACACCCGAGCCCTCGGGTATCCTAACCAAACATACGTACTAACTCAATAATATCATACGAACTTATCCGTGTGATCAAATCGCCAAAATAACCTCAATAACAACGAATTAAACCTCAAAATCAAAGAATTTTTCTCAAACTTCTTAAAATATCAACTTTGGCAATTTAGGTCCGAATCACGTCAAATGACATCCGTTTTTCACTAAATTCTACAGAAATGTCTTAAACCATATATAAGACCTATACGGGGCACCGAAACCAAAATACGGGCTCGATACCTTCATGTTCTAATCAAATTTCATTTCAAATTTCTTTAAACAGTTTCAGAAAATAATTTTCTTTAAAAATTTATTTCTCGGGCTTGGGACCTCGGAATCCGATTCCGAGCACATTCCCAAGTCCCATATTTTCCTACGGACCGTCCGGGACCATCAAATCACGGGCCCGGGTCTGTTTATCCAAAACGTTGATCGAAGTCAAATTAACTCATTTTATAGCCAAATTTTATCATTTTTCATAGATTTTCATATTTAAGCTTTCCGGTTATGCGCCCGGACTGCACACGCAAATCGAGGTAATGTTAAATGAGGTTTTCAAGGCCGCAGAAATACAGAATTCAATTTAAAAGCAAGTGATAACCTTTTGGGTCATCACATAAGTTGTAGATAAATTGTATGCCAACCTCAGTATTTTACATTTTAATTTTATGAATTGTATGATAACCATGTATAATGAATAATCCACGAAAGTTTGATTCATTATTACATTTCATATCCTACCAATAGTTTTACTTTTGGTATATGTATCACTTATCTGTGAGTCGCTTCTTGATACACGTGATAATTTGAAGAAATAGACATCAAAATTTAATTTCGCTTATGTGTATCAAATTAATAGTGTGATATCAAAAAAATACTGACATCAAAGAAAGTGGTACTGTGGGACGAATTCCTTCTTTCAGATATCAACGTAAAGCCTAATTTCCTTACTCATTGGCTTGTACATAGGACCTAGAGCGTGGGATGGGTATTAATTAGATATAGGGGAACTTGCACTTGGAATTAGATTTTGAACTAATTAATTCGCTTTTCAAAAGAAAAGGTTTAACTAGAGCCTAATGATAGTATTCTTAGAGAATTGATCGAACTGTAACTCACCGACAAAGTTAGAAGATGGAGAAAGACAGAATCTGAAGAGAAGAGGGGAAAGAGGAGAAAAAAAGGAAAATGGTGTAACTAAATCCCTTAATTGAAGGCACTAATAATGGATTGAGAGTCTTTTAAGGTGGAATGTATATATTTTATAAACAAGACTTGTGTAAGTAGGGTAATTTACTAAACATGAACATTTAGGGCAATAAAGTTTCCAATAGTGTATAAGAATGAAAAAATCCCTAAAAAGTACTTTCTCAATTCATACTAGACGGAATCTAATGCAAGTACTGGGTAAAATACGGCTCATGTGATGGGATAAATGACGCACATGATAATTTTTTCAAATCACCCAATTGCAGCAATAGATTTAAAATATTGAGTTAGTGCATGTTAGATCCCAATATACTCATTATTACTAGTATTATTTTGGGCAGTGGCTGGTATTTTTCTTAAAGATTGTTTAACTATATATAATTATAATTAGTTTTGAGCAGTTAGAAAGTCGAAACCCCAGCTTAATTTGGTCATCAATGGAGATATGGGGTATGAACAGAAGAGATAAGAGAGGGAAGATAAAGACTGACCAAATTAGGTTTATCTTCGATATAACCTAGGATGTGTGTCGGCTATTTTATTACTTGAAGATGGTTATTCACAATGAATCACAGCTACACATCAAACCCATGATGGATTAAATCTGCACCATTGATTTATTTTAATGCTAGAAGCTTCTTTCCTCATGTGAATAGCACGTGAGGGAATATTAGTAGTTAGGATAGAATTTTGATGTTATAGTTAGACAAGTTAGAATAGGATAAGTGTTATTAGTATTTTTATTTCTCTATTCTTTTATTCAATACTCAAGTGTATATATATACATGTACAAACAGTTGAATGAATATAGAGAAAATTTTCCAATACTACAGCCTATCATCTTCAGTTTCTTTCATGGTATCAGAGCTTTAAGCTCGATCCAATAGTGATTATCCACAATCAAATTCATTCTTCAGCTCCCAATGACGAAAGATGGTTGGTTATGATGAAACTACAGTTGCAAAAACTAGCAATACTGCTAAGGCAGTCGGATATGACATTAATCATTCCTATCACCTCAATACCTCTAATTCACCTGGTATGACTCTAGTCAACAATGTATTTGATGGAAGAGGTTATCCAGGATAGAAAAGATCTATTCTTCTATCTTTGTCAGCCAAGAAGAAGTTTGGGTTCATCAATGGAGCTTGCAAATCTCTTGATCTCAACTCTGCTGAATACGAGCAATGGAGTTGTGTCAACGACATGGTTTTATCTTGGATTCTAAATGCATTGTCAAAAGACATTGCTGACAGTGTCATATACTCAAAGATAGCTAAGGAACTCTGGGTCAGCTTGGAGCAGAGATTTGGCAAATCAAATGGTGCTAAACTTTACCACCTGCAAAAAGAGTTATCAGGTTTAGTACAAAGTAACAGTAACATTGTTGGATACTTCACTAAACTTAAGCAATTGTGGGATAAATTAGATGCATTAAATGTAATCATATCTTGTTCATGTGTCTTTGTGTGTGAGGGAAAAGCAAAGTTAACTAAGTCTTTGAATGATCAAAGATTGATTCAATTTTTGATGGGGTTGAATGATATGTATGCACAAGCTAGAAGAAATATCCTTATGATGAGCTCTTTTCCTAGTATGGATATTGCATACTCTCTCCTTTGGCAGGATGAAAATCAAAGGGAAATATATGCAAATGCATACTTCATCTCTTTATTCTGAACCTTTCATAGTTGCTGGACAAGGAAAACAACCAAATTCACAAATTTTAGCTGACTTTGCAGCTTTCATGGCATCATGACAAGTAATAATCAGAGATTCAGAAATCAGACCCCAAGAGGGACAATAACTGCTCAAAGGTTCAATAATTCAGCTCAAAAGGTTGCAAGGCCACATCAAAAATTCAAAGGGGAAAAGAAATATAATTCCAATCTTTCTTGTACCTATTGTGGAAAAATAGGACATACACGAGAGGATTATTACAGACTAATTGGGTTCTCAGATGACTTTGAGTTCACTAACCCAAAAACTTATCAGAACCATATCAAGGCAAATGTGGTAACAACACATGAGGAAGAAATTGCAACAGGACAGAACAATGAGAACAACATCAGCAATTTTGTCCAATAATTTAGCAAAGAACAAATTGCAGAAATGACAGAGATATATAAGCAAGCAAAATCAGCACAAACAAGAAGCTCAGGAATTAATGCCAATACAGTTGCTGGTATATTTTAGAATATTCCGGATCAGTGTTTACTAGCTTGAAATTAGATACTTGGATAATTGATTCTGGAGCATTAGAACATATGTGCTTTGATCCTAATTCTTTCTTGTTTCTAATTCCACTCCCTGTACCTTTGAATATCAGTTTACCTCATTCTTTTAAGGTAAGTATTACTCATATAGGGAATATGTCCATTCTGCCAGGTCGTGTCTTAACTAATGTGCTTTCATGTGCCAGATTTTAAATACAATTTTCCATTTGTTCATAAATTCTGTGTTCAATTCAAGTGTGATATCCTACTTACATTCTAGTGGGTGTCTGTTGCAGGGCCATTCAATAAGAAGTCCTCAAGTTTTTGGTGAAGTTGGAGAAGGTCTATACTTATAGAACCCACTAGTTTTAAGTCTAGAAGTATGCTTAGTAATGATGTAATTCCATTTCCAAAAGGAAGAAATTCCATTTCAAAGTCTATTTTAGATTCGAATCCAATACATGTTAATATAATGCATGATGTAAAGCTTTGACATGGAGGGTTGGGTCATGTTCCAATTTCAGCAATGAAACATTTACATTTCCTTCATTGTGGTTCCAATTCTAATTTTATTTGTAATATTTGTCCTAAGGCTAAACAGACTAGAAAACCTTTTCCCATCAATAATATAAAATCCAAGCATATTTTTGATCTTATACATGTTGACACTTGGGGACCTTATAAATCTAGCATTTATAATGGTTTCAAATATTTCCTCACTATTGTTGATGACTACAGTAGAGGAAACTAGACATTCTTATTGAGTGCTACAAGCAATGGTTTCCTATGCGTAAAAGTTTCTTGTCTATGGTAGAAAGACAATTCAATGTAAAGGTTAAGATGATAAGATCTGACAATGCTTTGAAATTGGGAAAGGAGACACAAGAAGCCGCTTTTCTTGCTTCAGAAGGGATCATAATCAGCTATCTTATGTTGGTACTCCTCAACAAAATAAAATTGTTGAGAGGAAGCACATACATCTTTTAAAAGTTGCAAGGGGGTTAATGTTTCAATCCAACCTACATATATCATATAGGGGAGAGTCTATTCTAACTGCAACACATATCATAAATAGATTGCCTTCCAGAGTACTGCAAGGTAAGAGTCCATTTGAGGTACATTTTTAATAAAAACCTCAATATGAATATTTGAGGAACTTTGGGTGCCTATGCTATTTCCTCATGTGAATAGCACGTGAGGGAATATTAGTAGTTAGGATAGAATTTTGCTGTTATAGTTAGACAAGTTAGAATAGGAAAAGTGTTATTAGTATTTTTGTTTTTCTATTCTTTTATTCAATACTCAAGTGTATGTATATACATGTACAAACAGTTGAATGAATATAGAGAAAATTTTCCAATACTACAGCATATCATCTTCAGTTTCTTTCATGGTATCAGAGCTTTAAGCTCGATCCAACAGTGATTATCCACAATCAAATTCATTCTTCAGCTCCCAGTGAAGAAAGATGGTTGGTTATGATGAAACCACAGTTGCAGAAATCAGCAATACTACTAAGGCAATTAGATATGACATTAATCATTCCTATCACCTCAATAACTCTGATTCACCTGGTATGACTCTAGTCAACACTGTGTTTGATGGAAGAGGTTATCCAAGATGGAAGAGATCTATTCTTCTATCTTTGTCAGCCAAGAAGAAGTTTGGATTCATCAATGGAGCTTGCAAATCTCCTGATCTCAACCATGTTGAATACGAGCAGTGGAGTTGTGTCAACGACATGGTTTTATCTTGGATTCTAAATTCATTGTCAAAAGACATTGCTGACAGTGTCATATACTCAAAGGTAACTAAGAAACTCTGGGACATCTTGGATCAGAGATTTGGCAAATCAAATGGTGCCAAACTTACCACCTGCAAAAGGAGTTATCAGGTTTAATACAAAGTAATAGTAACATTGTTGGATACTTCACTAAACTTAAGCAGTTGTGGGATAAATTAGATGCATTAAATGTAATCATATATTGTTCATGTGTCTTTGTATGTGAGGGAAAAGCAAAGTTAACTAAGTCTTTGAAGGATCAAAGATTGATTATTTTTTGATGGGGTTGAATGATATGTATGCACAAGGAAAAGGAAGGAAAAGGAAAACAACCAAATTCACAAATTTTAGCTGACTTTGTAGCTTTCATGGAAGCATGACAAGGAAGGAATAATCAGAGATTCAGAAATCAGACCCCAAGAGGGACAATAACTGCTCAAAAGTTCAATAATTCAGCTTAAAAGGTTGCAAGGCCACATCAAAAATTCAAAGGGGAGAAGAAATATAATTTCAATCTTTCTTGTACCTATTGTGGAAAAATAGGACATACACAAGAGGATTATTACAGACAAAACCATGTCAAGGCAAATGTGGTAACAACACATGAGGAAGAAATTGCAACAAGACAGAACAATGAGAACAACATCAGCAATTTTGTCCAATAATTTAGCAAAGAACAAATTGCAGAAATGACGGAGATATATAAGCAAGCAAAATCAGCACAAATAGGAAGCTCAGGAATTAATGTCAATACAGTTGCTGATATATTCTAAAATACTCCGGATCAGTGTTTACTAGTTTGAAATTAGATACTTGGCTAATTGATTCTGGAGCATCAGAACATATGTGCTTTGATCCTAATTCTTTCTTGTTTCTAATTCCACTCCATGTACCTTTGAACATCAGTTTACCTTATTTTTTCAAGGTAAGTATTACTCATATACTGAATATCTCCATTCTTCCAGGTCGTGTCTTAACTAATGTGCTTCATGTGCCAGATTTTAAATACAATTTTCTATTTGTTCGTAAGTTCTGTGTTCAATTCAAGTATGATGTCCTACTTACATTCTAGTGGGTGTCTATTGCGGGGCTTTTCAATGAGGAGTCCTCAAGCTTTTGGTGAAGTTGGAGAAGGTCTATACTTATTAGAACCCACTAGTTTTAAGTCTAGAAGTATGCTTAGTAATGATGTAATTCCATTTCCAAAAGAAAGAAACTCCATTTCAAAGTCTATTTTTGATTCGAATCCAATACATGTTAATGTGATACCTGATGTAAAGCTTTGGCATGTAAGGTTGGGTCATGTTCCAATTTCAGCAATGAAACATTTACAGTTCCTTCATTGTGGTTCCAATTCTAATTTTATTTGTAATATTTGTCCTAAGGCTAAACAGACTAGAAAACCTTTTTCCATCAATAGTATAAAATCCAAGCATGTTTTTGATCTTATACATGTTGACACTTGGGGACCTTATAAATCTAGCACTTATAATGGTTTTAAATATTTCCTCACTATTATTGATGACTACAGTAGAGGAAACTGGACATTCTTATTGAGTGCTAAAAGTAATGCTTTTCCTATGCGTAAAAGTTTCTTGTCTATGGTAGAAAGACAATTCAATGTAAAGGTTAAGATGATAAGATATGACAATGCTTTGGAATTGAGAAAGGGGACACAAGAAACAACTTTTCATGCTTCAGAAGGGATCATAATCAACTATCTTGTGTTGGTACTCCTCAACAAAATAAAATTATTGAGAGGAAGCACATACATCTTTTAAAAGTAGCAAGGGGATTAATGTTTCAATCCAGCCTACATATATCATATTGGGGAGAGTCTAATCTAACTGCAACACATATCATAAATAGACTGCCTTCCAGAGTACTGCAAGGTAAGACTCCATTTGAGGTACCTTTTTAATAAAAACCTCAATATGAACATTTGAGGAACTTTTGGTGCCTATGCTATGCTTCTACTTTGACACAAAGAAGAAGCAAGTTTGATGAAAGAGAAACAACATGTGTGTTAATTGGATATCCTTTGAATAAAAAAGGATACAAACTATTGGAACTGGAAACTAAGAGGATTTTTATTTCCAGAGATGTCAAATTCTTTGAATCCTACTTTCACTTTGCCAAAGTTACTCCTACCAACAACCCTATCTTTTCAAATTTCCCTCTTTCTTTAGAATCCATCTACCCTCCACCTATACAAATAGATATACTAGGTTCAGCAGGTATGGATTATCCCAATTCAATCTCACTACAATCACCTACTCTTCAGCCTAATTCCTCTGTTCCCTACACCATATCTACCTCTCATGAGCATGTTTCTCATGTTCCCTACTCTACTTCTCCAAACAACCTAATCAACTCCCCTGTTTCTGCACCTAGAGAAGGTGCTACACCAAGGAAGTCTGGTAGAATTACACAACAACCAGTCTATGTCAAGGACTATGTGTGCAATAACATTATGTTTGCTGATTTGGACAATACATGTTTTTCTCAACCAAGTAGGCCTAGTGCTTACTTATTTTCATCTCTAACCATAAATAATAAACACCTTATCTATTCTTTATCTACATTAATTGAGCCTAGTAGTTATGCATAAGCTTCTTAACATCTAAGTTAGAGGAAAGTCGTGGAATCAGAAATTCAAGCTCTACAAGACAACCACACTTGGGAAGCGGTTGAGTTGCTTAAAGGTAAGAAAGCATTACTTTGAAAGTGGGTTTATAAGGTGAAGCATTTATCTGATGG